ACCTCCACTGCCCACACTGCCCTCGCACTTTCACGCATCGCATGGGCCTACTCGGCCACATGCGCATCCACGACGACCTGCGGTAGACAACCGCCGGCTACACCACACCACAACACCCTCCCTTCCTGCCTCCTCCTCCTCCTCCTCCACCACCACCACCACCACCACCACCACCTCCACCACCACACATCAGCACTCACACACCGCAAGCACCCAACTGCCATCTCCCACGCAAATGGGAAATGTGTATCTCGACTCGGTCCCCATGCGGCTTCGGCTGCACGGATGACTTGAGTTCGAGACTATCCCGACACGTCAAGCGTCGTGGATAGGAAGGTTGCTGATTGACGCCCCCACTCGGTCCACGCAGTTCGTCCCGTAGTGTGTGTGTTGTGTGGGGTGGCGGACTGGTGGGCTGGGCGACGGGCTGAAACAGCACCTTCCCCGGCCCTCTCACGCAAGTGAGAGACACGCCGTTCAACCCCCGTTGTGTGAAATCCTGGTGTTTGTGTATGGGGGGCCAGGTCGTGCTCGTGGCGCGCGCACTCATGGTCAGTCGATCATGCCAGCCACCGCGCCCATTTCCCACTCCAGTCTGCTGACCGGCTCAGACAGCGGCTGCGGTGTGGGAATGGGAAGGGAGAGTGAGGTCGACGACTCAGCGCATTTTCTCCTCACTATAAACAATCTGACGCGCTTGAAGCTATCACGGTGCGCTAAAAGCCGTGGCTTGGAAGGTTGCCAACTGACGGGATAACTTAGACCTCCTCCTCGACTGGTGGAGGTCTGAGAGTCAGGCTGCAGTGGCTCCTTCTTAATGTGGCCTTTATGGCACTCCCACCACAGTGTGGATCCGAGCCAGGCGTCCGCGGCACGCCTAGGTGCGGCTTCGGCCGTGCCAGCCTCAAATCTCGGTTGTGTTGGTTGAAACCCTGGTTATATGTTGTGAGGACCAGGGGGTGTGGTGGAACGCCAAGGTGAGGATCCGTCCGAGTCATCCACCTGCGGCCTCCCTCGTCTCCGGTCTTCTTGACTCTGTCTTGACACCGGACCCAGACGGGGGAGGAGGAGAGAGTGTAGGTAGATGCAGCGCAAGTCTACCGGCATTATAAACCCCTGCGCAAGTCACCGTCCCTGCTTCCACCGCTGCTGCAGCTGTGGGGCACACGGTGGACATCATCGAAATCGATGGTCGAACTGTCAGTCGCAGTCGACTTCAGCCGAATATAACGGCAAAAATTGCGCACATGACCTAACTTTCTTTGTTTACAGTTGTGCCGATTTTCAACGTCGGCCGGCTGTTAGATGTTTGAAGTGCTCACGCCGATCGCCACAGATTTCGGGCAGCAACCCCGCAGACTTCGAAGCCATAATGAACGACTTGGCGAGCTTTCCACGGTTTTGTTACCATCGGGTCTGGCACGGGAATTTGGATCTCCCCGTATCACAGGTTGTGCTACCCTTAATTTATGAGGGCAAGTGTTAGAGTTGGGGTTATGGTTAGGGCTAGAGGAGTTAGGATTAGGCATAGTTTTCGGGCTAAAGTTAGGGCGCTCGAATAGGTACCCCATTGGAATAAAGCGAGTGGTCTCGAGCCATTCGGGAGGTCCATATTCACGTGTCCGGCCCCGCATCGCCCACGAATTCCATGGTTATTGGCCTGTAGACTTGCATCTTTTAGCATTTACTGATAGCAATCATGGTACATGCTCGTATGAAGCGTAACTTTGAACTTGAGTCGTATTTATTGGCAAAACGGACAATGGAAACAACTTGTTGCGCGTTGTTTCTTTTCTATCAAGCCAAGGTTTTGCGGTTATACTACTTCTAAATGATAAAGTCTCCATTTTTGTTTCACTGATGCCATTTTTGAATTCTAGAAGGAAAAGACATTTACTCAGTGATAAACACGACGCGCGCGTAATGGCAATTTTAACGGTATGTTTCAAAGGATAAAAACAGTTATTTTTGGCAAATTTCACAATGTCATGAACAATTTGTAAAGTGTTCCGATGTATGGTAATGAACATAGGCCGGTTAGAGGATTTACTTCAATGCAAAACTGCATGCAGCAACAAATACAAGCGTAACAGGTAAAGATACAGCGCTGGTTTTCTTTAAAAGCCTGCAAAGCAATTGGTTTGTTTGTTGACACAAGCGAAACCTTCTTTTAACCTTCTTTTAACTAAAGACGCGCCACATAAACACCTTTTCAAGTCGAGCACAAGAAAGTAGCTACACATCTTCGCTCCCACCCTCTCTTCCTCTCTCTCTCTCTCTCTCTCTCGCTCGCTCTCTTTCTCTCAACGAAATGTCCTGATTGTAATGTATCACGTCGACAACAATGCAGATGACCAGTCAGAAAGAAACTGTCAGCTCTGGATGTTTAGCTAATCAACATACAGAGTTCGGACTGCTGATGGTTACGAATCCAGTTTGAAGTTGTATTTATGCTACTAGACACTGTATCTTCCGAAATGAGTGATCTTTGATCAAGAGGTCTCAAATGGTATTTTATTTTTAGCTGAGGTCTGTTTTGGCAGAATTCGTGTTTTCCTTATATGGAGACGGCCGTCGGCTGCTGACTTAGTAGATCACGATTATACCCTATCCAGCACTGCGCCACATCTCCTCTTCAGTATTACTCATTGGAAGAGATCGATGACAGAGGAGCCGCAGCTATCCTTTCGTCTCGTTTGGTGTTGCTGGCATGTTTCCAGTTTATCACTACATTCAAAAGTTGTATACTGGAACATCTTCATCAGGCAACTTAGCTGACCCTTGAAGTGAGAAGTCGGATTGAAATGGCTGCTTAGCAATGCTGACTTTGTATCAGACCTCATTTATGTGGAGATTTGGGGAGAGGAATCATCTACCCACCTTTCCCTTCACATGGGGACAAAACTTAAGTCAGAAAGTGAGAGCAAGGACATTACTAGGCTAAGGCAAAATTT